AGGACAATGAGACTTAAGGGGCCCTAATTTCTTTCAATTTAATGCCAAGTTTTTATTATTCATTAATAGAATAATAAATAAAAATAATAATAATTCAATCCCATTCACACCTTTTGTCCTTGAAATGACTACACTCTGATTTTCCATGTGCTCTCCAGGGGCATTTTTGACATTTTATAAACAATTACGAACGATTTATGACGATAGATCACAGAAAAATACGTCAATTTTGCCGAACAATTTTGATTTGTGATCAAAACCCTAAATCAAGACGACGCCGTTGTTTTTCCTATTTGTTTTTTACAATTTTTTAACCCTAAATCAAGTCTCGAGCTCATTTTGGTAGACGTAAATTGTTGATATGATGCAAAATTAGTGAGAGATTCTAAAAACTTAACCCGGCAACTAGAAGGTTGGTTTTGTCGAGATGACAACTCAAGAGAATAATCGGGACATTGAATGACGATTTAGGCTTTATCGCATCTTAAATTTTGGACGTCCATGATCGTTTCAAAAGTTTTATTTACAGTAGTAAAATATTAAAACGCTAAATAAAAAGTCGAATCTGAATATCATCTTTAAACGTAAGCCAGACAAGTGTACAAGTCACCATCTCATCGTCGTTCTGGGTCACGTTTAATATGTTAAAGGGTTCTACTTTAAGGAAATTTTGAAACGTTTTCAAAAGGTTAGGGATATTATTGTAATTTTATAAAGAATAATGGTTTTTTTTTTTTTTGGACGGTTTGGATTAAAAGCCAAAAATATTTTTATTTTAATTCAGACAATAGGCTACAGTACACTGCCACTCTAAAACCTTTTCTCTTCTAGTCCATACATATAAGTATCTAGCTTCTCCCATTTTTGGACTAACTTTTTTTATATTTCTAAAGAAATATAATAAAATAATTTCAATTTTATTTATTATTTTAATTACTTTTCATTCGTGACGTGAACGAACTGAACTATATGAATCAGAGTGATCGTGAGAATATAATGGTTAAAAAATATTTAAAAGAATTGATAGTTACTATTTGTACCAGCAACGTGTACCAAACTCTAATGCTAAATATGCTTAGTTAAGAGTGAATTTATGTTGGGTAACCGATCACAAAGAACGAGTGCTAGTTTATGAGGATTGTTTTCCCAAGTCCACCGCTACCAATATTGTCCTTTTTGGGTTTCTACTCAAGGTTTTAAAACACGTCTACTAGAGAGAGGTTTCCACACCATTATAACAAATGTTTTCTTCCCCTCTCCAATCGAGGTACAATCTCACAATCCACCCCTTAAGAGGTTTAGTGTCCTCGCTGGCACACCGCCCGGTGTCTGACTCCAATACCATTTGTAATAGTCCAAGCCCACCACTATCGGATATTGTCATCTTTGGACTTTCCCCTCCCTCTCAAAGTTTTAAAACAGGTCTACTAGGAATAGGTTTCCACATGAATATTTTGTTCCTCACACCATTTAACCTCAGTGTGTTTGAAAAACTATGTTGGGTGACTTACGGATAATCTCAGGTGTCATATCAGAACCCCAAGTCCCAGTTCAAATTTTGGAGATGGGACGTTACTTCATTTAACTTCAATTTATTTGACAAACTATATCGGATAACCCACGAATAATTTTCGATAAAAGAATCAGTGTTGATTTGTGAGAATAGTCTTCACGAAGGAATACAAGAACCGAGGTGACGAATCAAAACCCTAGACCTTAATTCAAATTCTAAACACGAAGCGTTACGTCATTTAACTTAAATAATGATCGTATATCGTAAGTGTGTAATTTAAACCAAAAGTCGTCCCAAAATTTACCCACCCTTGCATAGTTGCAGTAAAATACAAAAGCTAAAAAATTACCACAAAGGGTGTAGGAATAGGAAAATGGTAGAAAAAGGCAAATGAAATTATAGGGTGTCTCAGTACATTCAGTGGGAGATAATTATCTCCTGTCTTGTTGTTGAACCAGTCCACAGTAAAAAAATAAAAAAAAAAGTTACCTAACCCTAGAAATAATGGGGCAGTTGGGGTAGAATTTGCCATTACGAGAAAGTTTTAATGGGTATGAAAAGGAACATTTTTTAAATGCAGTATTGCCACTCATTTTCACTTCCCTTTCAAACCCTTATCACCACCCATGATCATGACTTTTGCCTTTGTCTTCAAGCAATGAAGTTGCAATATGAACACGTTTAGAGAGCTAACCCTTTTTTTTTTTCTTTGCTTTTCACCTCCTTCATCCAACATTTTACCCTATTTTTACGATAGGGTGTGACGAAAAACCGAGTCGAGATCGTGAATTATTAAAGGTACTGAGCATGTACTGACGTGTAATAGACAACTGCAGTTAACGTGTTAAATTTTTATCGAACAGACAGCTGTAATTAACGTGTTAAATTTTCATTGAGACTTTTTATATTTCTATTCAAACTAGCAGATATTCATAAGGTCGATGACATCGATGTGTACTAACAAACGAAATATATTAAAATAAAATAAAATCAATAAGATATAACATTGAAACCTAATATTAATATATAATAACAAATTTTAGTTTATTTAAAAAATGTGATTTTTTTTTTCTCGAAATATTTATCAACTTCGATGTGACATGCGAGTAAATGACGAGTGCATGAATGAATCTAGACCATAAAGAACAATCTTGAAAATAGGATAAATAAGAAAACCTTAAAAATTGAATATTTCTTCCTAAACTGCATTGCAGTCTCAAGAATTTTCCTAAAAAGCATGTAAATAAGGACAAAAACATACTGAAATGATTCGTGTTGGTTTGTGTGGATAGTCTTATGTGAGATCCCACATCGATCAGAGAATGGAACAACTGCCAGCAGCGAGGACATTGGTCCCAAAGGGGTGGACTGTGAGATCCCATATTGGTTGGAGAGGGGAACGAAACATCTCCCTAACAGACATGTTTTAAAAACGTTGAGGGAAAATCCAAAGAGAACAATATCGGTTAGCGATGAGCTATTCACTCTTAGAAGCAAGTACGTAACGTGGTCATGTTGTAGGAGAATACCGAGAATTCCCAAGTAGGATACAATTCACATCTAAACATTCGAATTCCTTCGTTCGGTTTTTATAGTCAAGAGCTTAGGGTTTCTGATTCTTTTCAAAATCCGATCGATACTTATCAGCTCTCGATTCATACTTATCCGCTCTCGATTCTCTTTGATGCATAGATCTTAGCCATCAATACAAGCACTGTACTTGACATTGAATAATTAGGTACCTTGGTTTTTAAAGTTGCACGTTTTGTCTCTCTTCAAGTGGAGAAAGAAAGATTTTATTTGATTTATTTTTATTTTTTACACCAACTCTTATACATATTCAATAAAGCTTTTTGTCTGTCCTTGGAAGGACGTATGGATTACTATTGAACTATGTTCATTTTACCTGTGATTTGGAATTACTTTATACCGTTGTAATACCAGGACATTGATTTGTGTTTTACTAACACGTGTCCATATGATCCGAGTTAGAGAACAACGAGAGAAAACTTAAGCTTAATTTAATGAATTATTTTTTGTACAATAAATAAAATTTTTAATCTTAAATAGAACGTTAGTATACATATTTGGATTAAGTTACATATTTTTCGTTCATAATATTTCTTTTTTTTTTTTAAAGTAGTTTTGAAACATTGTAATATTAAGATTTTAAAAGAATAAAAGTATTTTTAATTTTTACTTTATTTCAATTTTCTTTTAAATACTTTATTTAAACCTTAAATTTTGGATAACTTGTGCCAAATTTGGGCTTTCCCAAGTAGGTGTCACATGTTCCAGCCCAAACTTTTGGTGGGCTAGAAGCTACTAGCCCAATGAAGTTGTTATAACTTAGGGTTTCTTGTTGGGTTCATATGACGCGTGATCCGTGATCCTTAGACTACAAATTTTGATTTACATGTTGACATTTTTTTTTATTGGAACAACCCAACAAATACGAAAATAGAGTTATAACACGACCTGATTTTTTTAAAAAAAATAAGGTCCTCATTTGATATTTGAAAATTGTCATATTTTAGTTATTAATGTAACATATATGGTGGATAAGTATGATTCTTTTTATAAAAATAATAATTAAAAAATCCGACAATCCAACCCAACCTGAAAACAGACAAATGGGTTGAATTGTGAGCTCTATTGAGTTGTTAGAGTCATATACAAATATGGAGTTGTAAAACATTTATACTGTTAGGTTATTATTTTATTTTTTTAGTTTTTTAGTTTTTTTTTTGTTACTAAAATGGAAATATAACACAATAATGTAGCTAGTTTTATTGTGTTTTTATGTATTTTAGTATTAAATATATATTATGTTTATTAGAAATTCAAGGGTATATTTTATTTAAGAAGAATTATAACATTTATTGCAATTATTTAAGCTTTTACATTATTAAGAATAGCTATTGTGAGTATATATGGAAAAAAAATAATTTATCCAAATCTGCACGAAATTAAATATGAATAATTGTCTATTATCCAATAGAAAAAATAGAGTTAATAAATTAATGAATAAAAAAACTAAATACATAACTATATGGAATATATTAGAACCGACCAAAAAAATAAATAAATAAGGCAAAAAAAAATATAAAATAAAAAAAATATTTTGAAATATGGATCTTATGCTTAATTGTAATATTATTTATGGATAATATGGAATTATATAATTTGAATAAAATAATTAAATGAGGAGGGAAAATAAAAAATAAAAAATAAAAGCTGAAATTGTAAGGAAAATTAATCTAGAAAAAATAAATATTAATTTTATTTCTAATAAAAATAGTGAAAATTATATTTAAGTAATTTATAAGGTTTTTTTTTTTTTTTTTTTAAAGAAAATGACAAAGGGAATACGCGGCTGAATATGACTGATGGCCAGGTGGACTCCATATGGGTAAAAACGACGTCGGGTTATCCCTACTTGTAAATGATCTTCCTTGAGAAAAAAAAAAAGGAGAAATTAATTACAATTAATAGTAATAGAGAGAGAGAGAGAGGAGGAGCGACGAGCTGAAGCTAAGCTAAATCTTGAAATCCAGACCACTCTGCAAATTTTTTTTTTCTTTTAGGGTTCCGCAATTTTCGAGTCTTCTGATTGAAGATCACTCTTGGATTTGCTGATGCCTTCTTGCATTTCTTCTGAGATTTTTTGGTTTTTGTTTTCTCAAATCTCACTCTCTTTCCGTGCTATATTTTGATGAATTTCCACTAGCATTTCAGGGGATTTGTGATAATTGTATGTAATTTGCCGAGATCTTGTTGTAATTTCGGCTTGTGATTCGCTTCGTTGATTGTTTTCCGACTGGATCGTCCCCGACAGCTGGTTTTTGGGGATTTTAAGGCATCCCGATAGTCTATGGCGTCGAAGAGGGGGTTATTGTCCGCTTCTGCTTCACAGAGAGGTAGAGCTGGTGGTGGATCTCGACTTCCTGTTATACTTGTCATTTTCTTCTTGTTTCTCTCTCCTGTGATCTTCGTCTTCAGTCGAACTCTCCGTGGTGCAGGTTAGTTTCGTTGTTTTTGCTCTTTAGATTTGTTTGTTGTTCTTGCAAATTTGCAATGTAGCTGTTTCCAGATCTTATTTAATTGAATCAATAGATGTTATAGGAATATTGATGCCGCCGACACATTTTGGAAGCTGATAGATGGATTATATTTTTATTATGTTGCAAAATTTAATCACTGATTGTTGAAGAGAATAAATTAATCTGGTCGTGATAAATGTTTGTCGGTGGCTTGGATGTTTTTAATTGCACTGGGGGAAATTTAACATAGTTAGAAGAACATAAATATGGACGTTAGATTTTGTCAATCTGAGTTGACCTTCTTGCGGAAATTTGTCTTTGAGTTGATGCGATGGTTGATGATTTTGCAGATCTTGAAATTATTTCGAGTGGTTCTGTTCAACAGGTATGTGGTTGATTTTTCTTGTAATTAGTAGAGAGTCTACGACATTGTGGTTGATGATGCGTCTGTAGTTATCATAAGACATACTACTTGAGAGTGCAGGATGTTGGATGGAGAGAAAGAATAGCATTGCAACAGATTAAGTCTCTTTTCTCTAAGGAGGCAAGTGGTTGCTGGTTTCGATAGAATGCATTTGATTATTGCAGTTTTATTCTAATTCATTAGTTGGTTGAAACAAAGTAGTTTCACTATTTGTGGCCCTCTCACAGGGAAAGATTATTGATTTTATATTTCAGGTCATTGATGTGATTGCTGCTAGCACAAATGATATGGGTCCCTATAGTCTTGATCATTTTCGGAAAAGTAATTTGTCGGCTTCATGGAAAATAGATGCTCTGGAGACTACGGTTGATGGCATTTCTGAGGTTGGTTGGGCCTCTCTAGCATTTGATATATCTATGATGTGGTGCATTCTTCTTGTGTAACAATTTTCCTTCTTGTCGTGATCATTCTCGTGTGTCTCTGTTTTGTAGAAGAACCAAGTTGTTGTCGATATTGGGAAAGAAATACACGACAGCAAAGAGGTCAAAAATGCAGGTGGGTATTTGAAATCTTTTGTGTATCGTCATAAGTTTTACTTTGATGTTCTTTTCTTTGATTGATTTAGTTGTCTTGTGCAGATGATGTTTCCCAGTTTATGGATAGTCCTGCAAAACGGTCTAGGAGGGTAACTGTTAATCTTAAATGATTTGCATTTCCAATTTTCTGTCATTTTTTACATTGAAACTAGTACTAGGTTTACATCAATGGAATATCAATGGGAAGAGACTTTGTTATTTTAATTATTGTATCACTGTCAATTACTATGTTGGATCAGCATTTACCTCCGATTTTATACTTATGTTTAGCTACTTGCAGCAACTTCGAGAAAAGAAACGTGAAAAGCGTGCTGCTCAGTTGCTTCAACAGGACGACGACCTTCTGATAAAACTTGAGAATGCTGCTATTGAACGCTCAAAGTCAGTTGATACCTCAGTCTTGGGTAAATACAGTATATGGAGGAAAGAAAATGAGAATGAGAACTCTGATTCAACTGTACGCTTGATGCGGGACCAAATGATCATGGCAAGAGCATACCTAGGTATAGCAAAGATGAAGAATAAGCTTGACCTGCATCATGAACTCCAGATTCGTTTGAAAGAAATTCAACGTGCCTTAGGAGAGGCAAGTACTGATGCCGATCTCCATCGAAGGTAGCATAATCTTTTCCATCCTCTCTTTTTTTTAGAGAATTGTGACTCGAAGGAATTTCTTTACTGCTATCTGCATCTCTTGTTTTCTACTTATGGTTTTGAAATTATAATCTGTTGTATGTAACTGTTTGCAGTGCCCCTGATAAAATAAAATCCATGGGCCAAATTTTGTCAAAAGCAAAAGAGCAATTATATGACTGCAAGTTGATAACAGGAAAGCTAAGAGCAATGCTCCAATCAGCTGACGAAGAAGTCAGAGGCTTGAAAAAGCAAAGCACATTTCTCAGTCAGTTGGCTGCCAAGACCATACCTAATGGAATTCACTGCTTATCCTTGCGTCTAACTATAGACTACCACCTTCTTCCTCCAGAGAAGAGAAAATTTCCTAGAAGTGAAAATTTAGAAAATCCAGATCTTTATCATTATGCCCTCTTTTCAGACAATGTCTTGGCTGCATCAGTCGTTGTCAACTCAACCATTGTGAATGCCAAGGTATCTAAACGTCTCTTGCACCTGAAGCTTTTTGTGCGTTTGTTTCAAAAGAATGGGTCTTGATAAACATGGTTTTTGTATTATGATCCAAATTCCTTACATGCACAAATTCCATAGTCCATTTAAAAAAAAAATTTAATTCAAAATTTAGGTTTAAATCCTATTTTGTTCTTTGTTTGGATGACTTCTTACATTTTTGTTTATCTGCTTTCAAATGTATTTTTCTTCTTGAATTTTGCGTTGAAACTGAACGTAGGCACTTTTCTTTTGTTCATTTACCCCCATAAGTAATTATCGGTATAGAAAATTTAGGTTATTCATTTTTGTAAATGATTAATGAAACATTGTGACAAGTATTAAACTGGTTTTCATACAAAGTTAAGGTACTAAAATAGAATATTTTACTGTTAAATACTAAAATAAAACGTTTTGAAGTCCAAGAATCACAAGAATAAGTATGAAACTTCAAGAATTAAAATAGGATTTCAACGAAAAATCTATTTCCTTCCTTTCAATGTTTTTGTTATTGCAACCCATATGATGATGTTTACCTTTTTGCGTTGGTTGGATGCTAAGGGTGAACTAATACTACCAATTCATAATCATGTATTTGCAGGTCTTTTTTTCTGTTGTTTCTGACTAAATTATGCATGGTGGAATTTATTGCAGGATCCTTCAAAACATGTATTCCATCTTGTTACAGATAAGCTTAATTTTGGTGCCATGAACATGTGGTTCCTGTCAAATCCTCCTGGAAAAGCCACAATTCAAGTTGAAAATGTTGATGAATTCAAGTGGTTAAATTCATCTTACTGTCCAGTATTACGTCAACTTGAATCTGCTGCAATGAAAGAATACTATTTCAAGGCTGGACATCCGACCACCCTTTCATCTGGTGCATCAAATCTTAAGTACAGAAATCCAAAGTATCTTTCTATGCTTAATCACCTGAGATTCTATCTCCCTCAGGTATATCCCAAGTTGGAAAAGATACTGTTTTTGGATGACGACATTGTTGTTCAGAAGGACTTGTCTGGATTGTGGGATGTGGATCTTAATGGTAAAGTTAATGGTGCAGTCGAAACCTGTGGTGAGAGCTTTCACCGTTTTGATAAATATCTTAACTTCTCCAATCCTCATATTGCAAGAAAATTTGATCCCAATGCATGTGGATGGGCCTATGGGATGAATATGTTTGACTTGAAGGAGTGGAAAAAGAGAGACATTACAGGCATATATCATATGTGGCAGAGCTTAGTAAGTTTTCAATTATGTCTACCGAGTTTTTTGTATCAATATTTATCAAATTTTACTATACATACATATATTTCCTCAACAAACAGATTCAGATGTTCATTTTTTCCCTTGCATATGGTGTCAGAATGAAGAAAGGTTACTCTGGAAGCTAGGAACACTACCTCCTGGTCTGATTACTTTCTACGGACTGACACATCCACTGGACAAGTCGTGGCATGTGCTTGGCCTGGGTTACAATCCAAGCATTGACCGGTCTGAGATAGACAATGCAGCAGTCATACACTACAATGGAAACATGAAACCTTGGCTGGAATTGGCTATGACAAAGTATCGTGGTTATTGGTCCAAGTATGTCAAGTACAACCATCCTTACCTTCGCCAATGCAAGTTAAATGAATGAGGCTGGTTTTACACTTAGATATTTTACTATGCTGCTATTTCTCGCTGAAACACATTGGTTGGTTCCGACATTAGATTGGTGGGGGGCTAGGGATCTCCTTAACATGGTTTTACTATGCCCCTCTTCCCTCTTTCTCTCTTTATAATTCATTCCATTCATTCCCATCTCATACCCTCTGGTACAAGATATGATATTCATTCCCTTTTTAACATGTAAATCCATTAATTGTATTTGCTGTGTTAGCCAAGCTTGATCTGGATTACTGAGTCCATACCAATTCGCTGTAATTTTGGACAACAGACGATCTGCTTCTTTAAATCCATATCCATGGTATAAATTATAGATTCAGAAGTTTATGCACTATAACCCTTTTTGAACCGAGCGATATTGCTCCAATTCCTTTAGTTTCAGCTCTTGAACTGAAACTGCGAAGTATCTTACCAAAGAATTAAAACTAGGAAGGATATACATTTCATCTATTTTCTTAAATTAATCTGCTCTCCCCCTTTTCTGTTTTATAACGCCTGTTTCAAATCATGGAGGTTATTACTTAACTTCTCTATATAGCACAGCTAATCTTGGAGTAGAGCTACAGTAATATGAACAGTGATTCATTCGAGCTACAGTAATATGAACAGAGATTCATTCTCGAATGAGGAGAGGTTTTACTCTGATAGCATCTGTAATGCCATAAGTCCAAGATTCACAATTTAGATTTGGCATATTACGGTCTTCTCTGCATTTCTTATGATTTGTCACACTATCTATTCTTCTCTGCATTCCTTATGATTTGTCACACTATCTACTTGTCTTGAACTGCTTTGAGGTTGAACATTATCCCCACGGGTCTATATATATAATATTAACTTGGTTTATTCCTATTCATATGTTTTCAACGAAAATTTCGAAGAGCTTACCCACATTTAACTTTAGAGTTTCTACATTTGAGCTACTAAAAAGAAAGGGACACCATGTGTAGAATAGGTAGTAGTTATCAATTTTCTTAAAGTGTTTCTTAACTATGTCTTGCATACCCTCGAGACCCATTCATGTACCACTTAAACTTAGGTGTCATCGTTGTCTCCTTTAACGTCTTCTTTTTAAAGGATAATCTCCCTTGGTACATGGTTTTTCTTTAGGATGACAATTTAGATATTACTAGCAATGATGAACATTTGGTTGACCTATGTGAGCCCATGACCATCTATGGTTTCGATTGAAATGTTTTATTAAATTTTCAAATATGCTATTAGAGGCATGCATATAGTAACGTCTCTAATTTAGAAAAAAAGGGAGGAGGGTGGGGGGGGGGGGGGNGGGGGGGGCGTTACATTGTACTTTTCGAGTTTGAAAAATGATTTCAACCGTTTTTTAGTTTGTAAACTTACCGATCATATTTTCATGCTAGTTGGTTTTTAGTGGAATCAGTACCCTTGATTTAAGTTATGTATATCGATTTTCTTAAGGTTAAGACGACTGATACTGAGGTATTTGTATAACTCTATGAATGAATAATTTTTTATTTTTTATTTTTATTAATTTTATTATTCTAATTTATTTTTTAAAAAAGAAAATGTATTGCATTTTTTTGGTTTGACAACGGAAATTATGCCAACTTCAAACAACTTCAGTCACTTGTCTTAGGTGTCCTTGTCTTCACTTGATTTTTTTTTTTTTTTTTTTTTTTAGAAAATGTTGAATTTTTAAAATATATAGCAAGTGACCTTTGTTGAGGTCATGATTTGTACCCATATGCAATCGTGACCTATGCTAATGGACTATAGTATCTCTTATTTCTTTACGATTTGCATTACTTTTATATTACTTTTATAAACATAGTTATATTAAGAGGCGATTTTGGGCTTTGAATAACAAGACTCTACCCTTTCATTGACGGAACTAAATTTATAGTTGGAAAATAAATTGTTCATTGAAGGATCTGATAAAGAATTATGCCAGAAAAATAAGATTTGAATTACTGCAAAAACATTTGTTTGAGATTCGAATCCCTTCTCAAATAAAATGGATCATATCAGAAAAATTAGTTTCTAAAACAAAATGATTGAAAAAGCTTTACTAAAACTTACTCAGTTAAAATAAGAGTATTCATATGATCGGATCATCTTGGACTACTCAATTTAAATGGAAGAAATTGGGTTAGGCTAATTTTTTTCTTTTTAAAATTTTTTTTTTTATATTTAAATTTTATAAGGTTTTAATTATTAGGGTAACTATTTCATAAATAAATATAATACTTAACCCAACCCAATTATAAACTCATTTGCATGGCTCAAATTACCCACTTAATTAACCCAACCCAATTATAAAGTCATTTGCATGGCTCAAATTACCCACTTAATTAATCCAAAATTTTAGATTGATCTACAAAATTCATTAATTCAACCTAATCCAATTCCGGCCGTTAAAACATTAAATACAAAATAAATAAAAATAATAATAAAAAAAAGGAAAAAAAGAGAAAAAAAAAAAAAAAAAAAAAAAAAAAGACTGTTTGGATTACCAACAAAATCTTTCCACTTGGACGAACCAGTAATTCATTCTCGCGCGCTTTTCAATCAGATGAAGGAAAATGGAAGAGAACACAAAGCTCAAACCAAATTCCATGGTTTATTTTCAAATCCAGATCCCAATGATTTCTTCCTCAATTTTTCCTTCCCCTGTTTCCAAGTTTCAACGATCATTCACTCCTTTTCTTCTTGCGTAATCAATCCCCCACTAAGGTAATTTTCTCACTTCACACCGCTTTTCTTTGACGAACATTCTCTTTTCAGATTGTTTTTGTTTCCCGTTTTCGGTAATATCTTTCCGTTTTCAGGATCCAATTTGTCCCAAACGTGTTCATTCTCCCGCCCTAAGATCATAACCCACTTCTGCTATTTTGTAATTACGTATTTCATTCGTTCGTTCTCTTTTGATTTCTTTTTCTGTGTTGAATCCAATCGGAAGCAAATTTCGTGTTTGATTTGGAATCATACTGTCTGATCATTTCTATTTTGTTATGTTAATGTTCATCTTCTCGAACGAACTGTAACAGGGTCTGCTCTGTGTTGTTTATGAATTTATAACTTTCCATTATGGACAACTACGGTTCTTCGCCATCGTATCCGTACCACAATCCATATGCATACCCTTGTTCGGCTCCCCGTCAATACCCACCTGCTTCTCAATATCCACCTTCTCAATATCTACATCCTCATTATGCACATCCAAGTTTCGATCCATATGGTCGTCCTCTTTACCCTTACCCCTATAGTCCTTCACATGTCGCTCCGTATGCGTATCCCCCACACCCATCCCATTCTGGGTTAATAGAGTATATTCAACATCCACCTTCGTATTCTGGTCTTGTATCTTACCCTTATCCTTACCCTGATGCCTCATCGCCTAATAGTGGTGCTAGGCCATCCATTCATTATCATAGCAATTTCCAACATGGTACATCCCCATATCGGTATCAAGAATCTATCGCATACCCTTCACCAGAAACTCAATACCGACCACCCCCTTCACGAGTAAATAGCTTCTCTAGTCACTACAGGATTGATAACACTGATTCAGGCTCTTCTGCTCACCTGCCTATTGATGACCTTTTGTGCAATGTACATTTGTCTGATCATCAACCAAATGCTCCTGCTTCACCTCCTGCACCTGCTGCTGCACCTGTACCTGCACAACCTTCAGCTTCTTTATTGGCGAATTCTCCTCAAAGCATGAGATATGATCGGCGCGATCGATTTTATGGCTTTCCCAATTCATCCTTTTCTAGTTTCGATGTGGGGAATTCCGATCAATTGACTGCATCCAAGCAACCTTTGTTTTCCCATTCAAGCTCATTTGGTGGGTCTCAACATAATCAGAACTTGCAGATTGTTCCGTTGCACAGTAAAGCATCATTGAAAGTCTTGCTGTTGCATGGAAACTTAGAAATATGGATTAATGAGGCCAGAAATCTTCCAAATATGGACATGTTTCACAAAACCTTGGGGGATATGTTTGCTAAATTACCTGGCAAAATTGAAGGACGCGTGAGTCATAAGATCACTAGTGATCCTTATGTATCGATATCTGTAGCAAATGCAATAATTGGGAGGACTTTTGTTATAAGCAACAATGAAAACCCTGTATGGAGGCAACATTTCTATGTTCCCGTTGCACATTATGTTGCTGAAGTACTTTTTTTCGTTAAAGACAGTGATGTTGTTGGTTCACAGCTAATAGGAACTGTAGCAATTCCTGCAGAACAAATATATTCAGGGTCTATAGTTGAGGGAACCTTCCCAATCCTAAATAATGGGAAGCCATGTAAACCTGGAGCTGCACTGAACTTTTCTATTCAATATACCCCAATGGAGAGGCTCAGTACTTATCATCATGGAGTGGGAGCTGGTCCTGATTATCAGGGAGTTCCTGATACATATTTCCCCCTCAGAAAGGGTGGAGCTGTTACTCTTTATCAAGATGCTCATGTTCCAGACGGTCACCTTCCAAATTTGATGCTTGATAATGGTATGTACTATGTACATGGGAAATGTTGGCATGACATCTTTGATTCCGTACGTCAGGCTCGCAGGTTAATTTACATAACGGGGTGGTCAGTGTGGCACAAAGTGAAACTAGTTCGAGATACTGGCTATGGGACAGAGTGTACCCTTGGAGATCTCCTGAGGTCCAAGTCCCAGGAGGGAGTGAGAGTTCTGCTTCTTGTTTGGGACGATCCCACTTCTAGGAGCATTTTGGGTTACAAAACTGTAAGTTGTGCTCCCTGCTCTGTATTCCTTTTATATTTCCTGCTTCTCATAGTTGCCTTTTCCAAACATCCTTTAAGTTAGAAGCTGTCCTTCACTAGATGTTCATATTCTACGATCGTTTCAGTTCAACTGTTAGAATATGCATGTAGTTACAAGCTACCTTTATTGGATCGCAATAGTCTAAGATAGAGCTAAGAGGTTTCGATTTGTAATCAAGGATTTTCAGTTTACATTGAAGTGGTTTTGAAGAATCTATTATCATACCCTGCTGAGAATACATGTTAATTCTTGCAGGATGGTTTCATGCAAACCCATGATGAAGAAACTCGCAGGTTTTTCAAACACTCCTCCGTTCAAGTGATACTTTGTCCTCGCATGGCTGGAAAACGACATAGTTGGGTTAAGCAAAAGGTTAGTCTTTTCTCCTTCTTCTTCCTTCCTTTTTTTTTTTTTTTTTAAAGTTTGGGGTAAGAAATGAGATTACTTCAATGACCAGATGGCTAAAAGTTTAGTCTTAACTAATCACTTCTATCTCCTGTCGGACTTTTGTTGTTTTTCAACATGATTATGCCAAGAAAA